CCCCCCCGGTTGTAGCTTCCAGTGCCTTTAAAGGCCTTACCTAACCCTAAACAACGTCATAAGGATGTTTTAATAAAGAAAAATAGAACAGCAAAACTTGCACTATTAAAATGTATCGTTCTTATGATGATTATCTCCAGGAGACAGGGACTGGTAATTTTCTTTGGACCCACACTACCGCGTCTATGGGAATTGGTTTCCAGGTAACTCGTGTTCTCTCTTCTTAGGCAGAGATATTCAAGTAATCGTCGCATTAAGAGCTTTTTGTTTCAGTGTGTTTGTATACTTTTCATTTTTCTTTTTTCCTCTTATCCGTGATATAATTCTTCAATATTCTCTCTTAAACTCTAATTAGAAAATTGAGATTGTTTGATAATTATGTCTTTATGTAATACAGGGTGTCCCACATAGCTTTAAATTAAGATTTAAGGAACTTATCAGAAAATTTAGGAAAATCTGAACAGGGGCCCCAATCAGAAATAGGTATCCAAGTGAGAAAATGAAATCAGTCTGAAATTTACAAAACTATAATATAAAAAAAATTACAGTATTCCCCATATGAATAAGGGAGGTGATATTATTGTATTTGAAGAGTAGTTGTATATGATTATAACCTATTATCACAACATTGGTATAAATTTGTTCAATCTAGACCACAGGAGATGCTGAGGCCACTGTAAAGATGTCTAGACTTCCTAAACCTTCCACTAACCAGGTACAAGTAATATTTTCCTGTTGTCCAACAAAAATTGATTTATTATCTCCTTAAAAATGTTTGTTTCCCCCAATTCAGCGATTAAAAACATGATATAGGCTACATGTTAATATTCTTTCCTTGGGGGAAAAATATATGTAACCCCTGTAAATAATATAACGGGTTTCATACTAAAGAAGTAAACTTCTATAGATAGATGTTTATTAAATGTATATTTGGATAAAATTACTTTCCAGCAATATTTGAAATTAGACTGCTTCAATTCGCTGGGATAAGATTTTTAGATAAATGTTGAAATAATGCCCTGCATTCAGATTCATTCTGACTCTTAACTCATTTATTCTTTGCAGGGAACTACGATTTTAGTGGAATCTGTCAGCTTTAAAACTGAGGACTAATTGGTTGAAAACTGGAGACTAATTTGTTGAAAACTTGAGACTAATTGGTTGAAAACTGGAGACTTATAAGTTGAAAACTTGAGACTAATTAGTTGAAAACTTGAGACTAATTAGTTAAAAACATGAGACTAATTAGTTGAAAACTTGAGACTAATTAGTTGAAAACTGGAAACTAATTAGTTGAAAACTGAGGACTATTTGTTTGAAAAATGGAGACTAATTTGGCTGAAAACTGGACACTTGCTGGTTGAAATATGAAAACTATTCACTGAGCAGTGAGCAGTTTGCAACTTAACACTTCCGGGAAAAATATGTTCGTTGAATAGTTTAAAATTGAACATTTACTGTTTAAAAACTGACTGAACATTTGCCAGTTGAGAACGGAACAGTGGACAGTGGACACTTCTTTTTAAAACTTGAAAGCTGAAAGCGAATTTCTGATTTGATTTGTTATTCGTTTTTTCCTCTTAACTTGTTAATTGAAAGGATTAGTAGAAAAACACATATTACACAGATAAAAGATAAAACTATATTGTTCATGTAATCAACAACATAGTGTAATGTTTAAATACGTAAATCTGAATTATAAGCTCTAACGAATGTAAATATTAACTCAATTATTTAAATTGTCTTTCCAATTTAGAGTAGTTCTCTTTAACCAGGCATATCTGCCCAAACTTTTAATATTTCTAAACAGACTTTACAACTAACTGTACAGTCTGCTGTCTGTACAAGTACAACTAACTGTACAGTCTGTACAACTAACTGTACATCATGTACAACTAGCTAATTTGCATATTGTAAAGTTTGTATAATTTTAAATACGTAAATTGTTCTGTCATTAGTGCCGAGATAGTATTTGTAAAAATTGTGCGGTATTGTCGTAGTTTTATTATTTCTATTGATCAGATCTTGAGCATATCGCAATATATTGTAAAATTTGCGAACCAAGTTATTATATTAATTGTAATGAATGAATTTGTTTAATAATTGCAAAAGGTCGGATAAAATCCTAATTTTGAACAATACTAGAATATGAAAGTTCTCTTATGCTGTAAACCCTCATTTATTATTTATTTAATCATCGGATTAATTTAAAGGTTGGCTCACAAATATTTGACATTCGGCTACATCTAAAATTATGTCACATTCTGAATCTAAAGTCTGTAAAACCCCTACTAAAATGTTAATTTCCTCAATCCTATTTTATGTATTCGTTCTGCAATTTGATATAAATGATTGATTAGATTATTCATCTAAGGTCGGAACTAGTGGAGTATTGTTAATCTTGAACCCTGGATCTAAGTTTGAGGATGTTTGATCCTTCAAATTAAGTTATCTATGCAAGGCATTACACCCACGGGATATCGAAGTTTACATGCATTAATTCATGTGGTTAAAATGTAGAAAAATGCTTGATCCCAAGATTCACAATACACAAGTTCTAACTTCTGCTAGATATGCCAGTGATGTTTTTATTTACAATTTTTAAATGTACACATTTTTTGCCAACGTTTTTTATTTTATCCAGTCTCATCAGATACTGTAAACATTAAACAAAATATTGAGTTTTTATCACACTACTTCTTATAATTAATACCATAAAAAATCTTGAAATTTAATAATCCCAAAATTTAACTGTTATTCATTTAAGTGAAGTTCAAAATGTGTAATTTTCAAGTTTTATTTTGTTTTTTTTCCAACTGAAATTCTTGTTGTACAGAGTTTGTAGGTTCTTCTACAGTCATAATCAGAAAGACCCGGAATTAATTAATAATAAATCAGACACCTTTACAATCTAATTTAACAAATATGATTAATAAAATGATAATGACAAAATAGCCCTAGTCCTGCCGATTCCAAAATGTGGTCTGCGTTTATTGTGCGTTTAAAATTACCCGAGATATATGTGTTAAATCGTCTGATTAATTTTAATTAATTCCGGGTCTTTCTGGTCATGACTGTACAAAGTAAAAATATCCAAGTCCTTGTAAGAATCAGCATTGTAATTATTTAAAATAATCTGACAAAACATGTAATTTCCGGAAAACATAATAATTGATACCCCATTTATTATATCTAATTTACGCCTAAACTTCCGATATAATTTGAAGTTTGCAACATACATGCGGACACGAGAGTTTTTTTTAACAGCTGAATTATTGTAGTTGTGGTAAGAACAGCTGATGTAGTTAAGTTGTGGTAAGAACGGCTAATGTATTGTAGTTGTTTTACAAACAGCTGAATTATTGTAGTTGTATAAAAAGCTGATTTAGCTGAGTTGTGGTACAAACAGCTAATCTATTGTAGTTGTGGTACTAACCGCTGCTAGCTGTTGAGGTTGTGGTACTAATAGCTTCAAGCTGTTGTTGCAGACAGGCATGATAGTTTCGTATCAAATTTGAAATTATATTCTGAATTCTGATATTTTTAGTTGTTTTGTTATTATTTCTATCGATTTAAATATGAACCTAATGAAATAAGTAAATAAATAGTTCTAGTTCTTCGTATTAATAGTTGGTTTTAATTATTGCATTAAACCTCATAAATTATTGCATTAAACCTCATAAATCTGTGGAATATGTGATGCTAGTATAGCAATCTTTCTGTAAACTTGATGCTGTGATTTTCCAAAGATTGCATTAGTCCCGCGCAAACCATATAAAATCTATTAAGTCCAAAATTCTTAATTTTCTAATATTGATAAGAGCCCACTGGCACGTCACATCCTGCACTGTACTGAACAGTGTACAACGTAACTCAATTTGTGATTTTTTTCTCAAGATTATATTAGAATATGGATCAAGTAAAAATTAAGATTTTTTGTATCTTTATAAACTGATTAAAATTACAAATGTTGCTAATCAGGCATCATGCCTATAGAGTCGCCCGCCCTTGTTCTAAACTCTTAAACCTATAACCCCTCTGTGTTTTTTTAAAAAACGGATTAAAGTAGCTAGAACACTCAAACTTCTTCACTTTAGTTGTGAACAAATTTAGCACTAAAGTTGATGGGTAGGGTCGGTTTAAAAAACAAAACCAAAATAGTGAACAACTTTTATATTGATAAAGCTACAGATCTAAAATTTATTTACTTTAAAAGCCTTTAAAAAATGGATGTCCTAACATGTTTCACATGTTAATTATCTGTCAAAAATAAAAATACCATAGTTTAACATTTTTGCGAAGTACATTTAGAACTTTTTTTTTACCCTCCCTAGCACCCTAACTATTAAAGTTAGAGGTGTAATATTTTTTTAACTAGCAGTCCTTGGAATGTTGGACTCTGGACATTGGGCAGGTTTCACACTCCCCTATCTCCACTATAATCATAGGGAAAGGGTCGAA